CATTTTACAGTATCGGCCCCGATACCCGATACCAGTATCGGTATCGGTGCATCCCTAATGATTACCTATATAAACTTAGGTTATTGCTGGTAAAAATGGTTCAATAACCTAGTGGATGACCAGTTTAAAATGAGAAAAGTATGAAAATATAACTCTACAGAAAGTGCAAAAGTAAAGATTTACAGTTTCACTAATTAAATAATTAATAATGCCATGTTATGTGCAGGTCATTACATTTTTATTCCTGCTGTTAATTGCAGCCCTTTATTTACCTGTCCTGCTGTCTACCTAGCAGCTAGTCTCCTGTCCGTTTCAACCTCATCCTTAAGACGGATAGATTTTGGAGAGGTGCCGTAGATCAGGCTGCTTCATAATGCATGTGATGTAATGGATTGCAGTGAGCCTCTTTGAATAATTAATCACTCTCTTTGTCTGAGCACTTGCACCTCTCTGTGGACAGTCAATGCCAGAGACATTTGACATAGTGCCTCTGTGTCGGGTGACTGCGAGGAGAGAAATACTTGGTTAATGGCATGGATTTTAGCCGGGTTTGCGGAATAATGTGTGCTCACACCGCGGGTGCATGTCAGGAGCGTGCTTGCTCAGAGCTGAATGATGAAAGCTGTTGTGGTTGTGGCACACTACAGGATGTGTCCTGTGTTGCTTGACAGCTTTATCGTGCGGAGGTGCTCATTATCGTCATGCCTGCTAGATAAACTATGTGGACAGGGAGAGCAACTGTATATGTGGACGTACGCTGACCAAGAGCAAGAGCAGCAACAGCCACCTCATTGTTAGTTGTTGATGTGGAATGCAGGGGTTGTAATTCATATGTTTCGCAAGAAACAAAAAAGCAAAATCTTTGTATCTGTTAGAGCCTCTTTCTGGTCTTAAAGTGCATGGCCAGGCAATTTGGGGCTGATAGAGGAGGCAGATGTTTCTCGAGCTATGGATAGAAAGCATGACTGAAGTGTAATCAAGTGTTTTAGGATTTTTTGTGTGGTGATGCTGTAAAAAACACCAAAAGGGTTCCCCTGTATTTGCAAATAGGCATTCATTTAGTTTTATTGACTGTTTTTTTTAAGCTGTATAGGTATTCCCTCTTTATGTGCAGCAATTTGATGTGTAATGGGTTTCTTTGGGACCATTTTAAGATCCATGTAAGGCGTACTTTCTTTGTTTTATTGGAAACAAAGCACTTTGTTATGATGTGTTGGGGTTGTTTATTTATGCGCAGCATTCTCATTTCTTTTCCACCCTCAGATGCTCTTTATAGCAGCATTTACAGCAAACTCGTCACTACTACTTAGTGTCCTTTATGCATGCATCTCGCCATCATTATTCGCATAACAACTACGACTTCCATGCGTCGCGCATCCGCTGTTTTTCATTTGCATCTTAGGAGCTGCTTAAGTGGCGCCATTCCAGCAATTGAATTTGACAAAATGCAGTCGCTTGCAGCCGCCCTGCCGGATTTCCAGGCCTCTCTTTCCTCTCAAGCTGCTGTTTGTCCAGCCGAGCGTACAGGCAGCCCAAACTCAGATGGAGGCAGATGACATGGATGACTGATCCAACAGGCGCGCACACTAAGGCAAAGCACAATGAAGCTCAGATTATTGACAGGAAAAATACAACAACCCCAACAGCATCCAAACCCTGTGGTTATTTGAGGGCAATGCTGTTTTAAAATCTGTCAATATTTGTCTTTGATTCTTTAGTTTGTATTTTTGATTTCTTATGTTATATTTGAAATATGTTAAGTTCTTGTATTGTTATTATTAGTTTTGTTGAGTTTTAGTGTTTCACCTATGTCTCCTTGTTTATGAGTCTTTTTCTGTTTGTCATGTGTTATCTCCTTGTCTATATAGGTTCCCCCTGTGTCTCTCTCCTCTCTGTCCCTTTCCCTCTCTCTGTCTCTTGTGTCAGGCTTGCATGTCCCAGTTCATGTGTCTCCATGTTTCCTGTTTTATTTTGAAAGTATTGTGTTTACATGTTCAGTGTGTTTAGTTTTGCTTCCCCCGTGGCATCTTGCTCATTTGTGTCAGCTGTCTCCCCAGGTGTTTCCACTTCCCTCATTACCCTTCTGTGTATTTAAGTCCTCTGTCTTCCTCTGTTCAGTGTTGGTGTGTCTGTTTTCTTTTCTTCATGTCATGTCTTCAGGAATCTTATGATTCTGTTTAGGTTATGTTCATGTTTTTCTCATAGTTTCTCATATTTACCTGTTCAGAATCACGATCACGTCTCATTGTCATAGTTGTCATAGTTTAGTTTTTCCCAGTCTAGCTTTTAGTTTTAGTTTTCGTCCCGGTTTGCTCTGCATTGATTTGTATTCACTTTTTTTGGCCAAATAAACGGCTCATGTTTTGTTACACCTTAGTTTTTGTCTCTTCCGTGTCTGCTTTTGGGTCCATGCCACAAATGCACTGGCCTGCCCAACGGGACAACTTCATTTTCATTTCACTATTTCTTACAGATTTCCAAACTGTGTGTGAAATCATTAAACAATACCATTTTGTAGGAAAAAATATTATTTGACAAATGAATATCAAGATGTCACCAGCTGCTGTGCAAGCTGAAGTTGAACTGTGTATGACATAATCTCTGGGGAAGCAACTGAGTGATATGGAAGACTCACAAAATAGCAACCTGCTCAACCTGTTAATACACAGGATTCCTACATAGAGCTTGTGAAAAAGGCTGAAGTCACACCTTCTCTGTATTTTCCTAGAAAAAGACCTCTTGCTGCTGATTTTCAATCCAGTTTTTGGTTCGACCGTTATTCCCCTGTTTCCCTTCCATAAGAATGGCTTCTTGACAGCTACTCTTCCATTAGGATAATCTCATTTAGGTTAAATGGATCAACTAAAAAGGTCAGATGCATCTCTCAGGTCCTTTGTCAGGTCTGTTAACCCTTTAAAACCGGTCGAAGCGGGCATGCTCCGTTTTGCGTAACTATTTTTAAATCCCTGTAGAACTGCAACCACGTAAGCTAGCACAATAATTTTTTTGCATATGAAACCGGAGGAGTTGTACTTACATGTTATGCCATCAGCTTGTCCTCGGTCACGGTTTCCTTCCACTTATAGCTTTGCAAAAACTGCATAAAAAGCACTTGCAGCAACAAAAACATAATAT